CGACCCTCTTTTTAGGGGACTCACCGGGGACCAATCGGGTTACCACGAACGCCGGGCTCGCAAACGGGCTTTGGGTGTCCGAAACGATTCCGGCGCTTCTCCATTCTTGGACCTGGCTCTCCATGAAGTCTCGATCTTCGGGCGCCAAACGATACGGTTTCGCCCGCGCCGGGAGCCGATCGGTCTTTAGCCGGATGTTCGCCTCCATCAGATCCGTACAGCCCAGCTCCTGCAGCGAGAACGAGGAAACACCTGTGAAGTCGTTGATGAGAGGCATGGTCTCCAATCTTTGAGACCCGGACAGGGACGGTCCCAAGATGACCTCCTCCGGAGCGATACTCCGCTGACACCCAACCCTATTTTTCGGTGAATTTATATTACAAGCCGACGTGTCGCCTCCAACCGAGGAGGAGCCCGCCGCCGACTCGGCTCCCCCGAACTCATCCTCGGCCAGCACCTTGCATCGTCCCAAGCTCTCTCCAGCCCGGATCCTCAAAGGGGACCGCCCTCTATTCTCGATTGGCAGCTGAACCATCCCCTCGGCGTTGCTGTGATAAACGAAATCACGCTCTTGAGCGCGAACCACGATGGCCGACGAAGGTTCGGTTCTCGCCTGAACGAGGGCCGCCGTGCGGGGCCCGATCTCGACGTCATCGACCACAGATGGACGCTCCGTTCGTGCTCGGCGAATTCTATTGAGGACAGACTCGGCAGGGCCGACGAAAAACTGGTCCTCGAATCTAGCCAGCGAGAAGTGTGGGAGATCCAGGAAGGTACGTCCAACGAACAGGTCCTCCGGGATCGTCTCGTCCGGCACAACTATCGCCTCCACCTCACTCGCGAGGCCCTCGTCCACCTGCAACGACTCAAAAACGACCCGCCCGAGGGAGTGTGTCGCCGGACTCTCCACATTACCCATGCCATAAATCGGTGTCGACTCTGAAACAACCTTCAGTCCCAGCTCACTCGCCTTGCTGGCCCGAATGAGCACGGATGAGCATCTGGTATCCATCAATCCGGTCACCCTGAACTTCCCGTCGACAATGCATTCCTTCATATATTTGGAAATGGAGGACTCCTCCTCGGCCGAGGACGTGAAGCTCTCGCGCCTACGGCGGTCGGGATCGCGCTCCGCCGGGCAGTCTCGACGGAAGTGGCCCGATCGGCCGCAGCCCCAACAATTCGGCTGAAGTCCGACCGACCGATCCCTCGGGGCATCCGCGGGGCCTGCGGCCCTCTCTCCATCACGAAACGTCCGCTGGGTGCTCGGGAGCTGCGGACGACCTGCAAAGTTACGCATCGCGCCCGACGCGATGCCAACCTCCCGGCGCGCCGGATGCCACCCTCCCGAGCCTTCTGATGCCCAACGCTCCCGATTCATCTGGAAGGGAACTCGCGGCCCCTGACCGAAGCGACGATACTCACCGGCTCCGCGAAGCGAACCCAGCAGCTCTCTGGGAGTCTTTTCCGGATCCATACCGGCGATTCTACGAGGGGTAACGCTCGACGAGGGGTGATGGGAGATGGCGAGCTTGACGGGCGTGAACACCTCATGCAATTTGCGCACAATGTGATCAAATGCATCGCCGAATGATATCCCGGCAGCCTGAGCCAAGCTCATCTTATCGTAGACTTAAGTCTCCACCGGAGTGTCCGCGGACTGAAACAAACTAAAGAACCCGCTATCGAAGCACCCCGGAATGGCTAACGCCTCGGAGAATCGGAGCGCGAAAGCGCTGACGTCATCTTCCGCGTCGATGGACTCAAAAGGAGTATCCGCTTCCTCAAGATGAAACCATGTCGCTGCTCGGCCCTCCAGGTGAGCTCGAGCTAGCGCGAGCGACGCATCGGTATTCAATCCAGAGCTCGTGATCTCACCTTTTATTGGTAAGAGCCACTGCCGAGCCACTAAGCCCATGGCTACTCCGTCATACATCACCAATCGAGGTCTGCTCCGTCGAGTTCCGACCGCTCGCCATCGACCTGATCAGCTCGGTCAGCTGGGACGTCAACTCGTAAAATTGCTCCTGCGACATGGTTATTTCCGACGACGGCGATCCGGAGGGGCCTCTTCCTCCCCAAGGTCTGTCGACTCAGGATTCGCCGCGTGCTCCCCTTGGGAGAAATCGAGATCGTTCGCAACTCACCGTTCCCGGATCCCACTTCTGAGCTGTTAGCGGGTGCCTCCCCGAATCACAGAACACACCGGTCTCGATCGTTTCTCAAGAGTTTATTTTGCTGCGACTCTTCTCGATATCCCGCGCGCGTTGTCTCTCGCGCGGTGAGCGACAGACTGATCGACGCACTGGCATGCTCAACGTGCACCCTACTTCTCTTTGTTCTAATCTTTACCAGTGGAAACTTTTTAACAAGTACAAATATCTTTGAAGGCGGGAAATTGTTCTGACGCTGGATGTACAATTCGGGCACATGTTTACCTAGAATCGCCAACACTAGTCACTGGAGAATATAAAAACGAACCACAGTCAGACATCAAGTTTTTCCTTCGAGCATGTGGATGCCTTCCTCCAAACTCTAATCCTATAGATTGATTGATGTCTTAGGCTGTGCGGACTTCACGAGCTAGCGTCGCGTCGCTCTAAAAAGCAGGAATCCTCAAGGAAGACTTCTCATTCGTCATATCATCCATCTTTGATCATGAATCACGATGGACTCGTAGATATGACGGGGTTTTGGAGATATCACACTTCAGGATATTCGCTGCTCTCGTATGTGATGAGCTCCTCAAAAGACGCTATATTCGCGCGTCTGCATCCTCTCAGAAAGGCTTCGGGGGTATGAAAATAGCGTTGACGCAATGAGCGGGTCAACGACTCGTATGATAATCGGAGCAGCCAATTATCGCCGATCGTGCTTGTTCATTCAAGTGATCAGCGGCCTTGATCGTAGTTATCCGCTGCGGGCACCGAGGACAGGCCGCCGTAGTGGAATGAAGAACACACGAAAGTCCCGCATGAGGCCGTCCTGTTGACGAGGATGCGACGCTGGATCCATTTTCGTTAAAGAAGATCGTAATAGAAGAAACACAGTCTCGGATAGACGATGATGCGGTCAATCTGTATATGAGACTGATGGTGTGCGAGTTCCTAGCCACTGTTGTCTCAAGCGGATTGTCCCAAAACATTTACTATGCGCAGCTGCTGAGAACGATCCTCTGGTCTCAGCTCCTCACAAATTGCCTGAATGTGACGACGATATTGATGTCAGAAGATGAAGGTGAGTAAGTATCAAGCCACCCTCCTCGGGAGTACTATGTCCGAAATGTGTATTCGATCAGGCTTATCGATACGAATCGAGCCTAACGGCTTCTTCTCCTGCATCACCATCGGTTGCCTCAACATAGAAGCCGAACTGCTTTCTGTCGATCCCTGGGAGATGAGACTCAATGCTTTCCAACGCCTCCAAAATCTCGCCTGGGATTTTGCGGAGTTTATTAAGTTCCGCGAGGGACTCTCTTTGAGCGAGGTTCCCGCGATACTAAAATTCTACGATGAATGACCGGATGATCGGCCTCTGGTTTGACACCTCCGCGCTCTCTTACCAAGATCTGTCGCGGCGAAAGTATACGGAGTCTCCCCTCATCACTCGAGCATGTGATACGAGGAGGATGTCTAGAGATAAGCGAGAATGTGAGGAGCTCGGCTACTTCTAATCTTTGGTACTTCTCTCGAGAGTTTCCTATTCGGCCTCTTCTCCGAAACTTCCATTGTCCCGTAACTCAGGAATGAGTCTCCAGATTGGGATAGCGATCGATATGAGATTCCGTCATCTTTGTCTAATTGTCTACAATGTTTATTTCTTTCAGGACTCCCAGGGCTTTACCAATCCATGCACCACGTGAATTCTCTTGTGCTCCTCGGTATAAGTTCATTCTTCGTCATCGAAGCTCGATGTCTGCGGAGAGTGATCACGAGAATGCTATTCCCTCTCTCTCGAGTAAGCTCGGAACGCAGCATCGAAGCTGCCATGTACTCGCGACGTTTCCTTTCAGGTCGAGCCGCGAATCGTGGGCTCTTCCAATCTAGCCTCCCAGCTAGATCCTAGCTCTTCGACCCAGCAAGAAAATTTCTGCGCGTAAGCTGAAACTGGACAAACAACATCCAGACTCTGGAATGGTGGCGCGAAGTTAATGTCTTCGCTTCCTCAGCTAAGAATACGAAATTGGTCAATCGATCGACCCATCGATTCGTCGACGGGATGGAGCCTAAAGGTGAATCACAGAATCGGTTCTCAGAATGTTCGAGGTCCCAGCTCGCGGGTAGCGATCCACCTCGAGCGCCTTTTTGTTAGCTGACCTAGCGGCTACGAGGAAATCCGAGAAGACCCTGGAACACAAGGAAACGAGCACCCCTCCCCAGACATTTAGCTTTTCCATCGGGCATGCCGATTTCACGCCGCGTTCCCTTCGGTCTTCCCATGGCCCGGTAGAGGTCTCCAGTGACGGGATCACACGGATTACTTTCTTGCTTTAGTTTCTGTGCGCGATCTCAACTCCATTCACAATGGCTTTTGAAGTCCACTCAAATGTAGTCTCATCGACGGATCGGAACAGTGTCTCGGGAACGTCAGCAACTCTCGGCGCCTCCATGACCTCTTTCGCGGTGTTCAAAACGAGTTTTATTTTCTGTTTAAAACGCTCGTCTGTCGGAAGACTGCTCCGACAAAGAGTCAGGAACGTTGCGAACGTCTTCGTTCCCTTTGTTTGTATGTCTTGCATGATCTACGGCGAGGGAGGCGCAGGTGGGCACTCTGACAGCTTCAAAGACTCCATCGAATTTTTCGGTGCTTCCGAACGATGAATTCGGAAAGTTTCGTTCATCAGAGTGAATTTTCACGATAATTTATTCTGAAGTAGGAGCGTTACACAAAGCTACGACATGATACTTTACGCTCTCTGGCGTCAGAGAATACCCTCGATCCGAGAGAAGAGAGTTGTAACGTGAAAAGGAACTTTCGACGTCCACGCTTACCAACGGCGCTTAAGTGAATGATGACAGGTCCGTGACAGTTAGGTCTGAAACGTCGCCAATACCGACTTCACCCTCGATGGTTATCTGGATGATTTTCATTTCCGCGAAGCCGGGATTTCGGTCCAAGACTCTTTCGAACTTCGACTTTATCGAATGAGACTTCTGACCAGTGCTAGAAACTATGTCCCGTTTGATATCGTCAATTATGGCAAGCGTCGTCGATAGCCTTTGAGAGGTGCATTCCAGTTTGGTTATGCCCCCTGGGAGCCTGGAGAAGTTCGAGGCTATGGAGGCGAGTTGAGATCTGATTTCGCGGTCAGCGGCGAGCTCCTTCGATTTCCGTATCGCAGCCGCGTCGGTGCTCTCGAGCTTTTCGAGGACATTTTCGATCACATCCAGATTGACAGCGTAGTACAAGGCTGCATTCAACCAAGTACCCCAACGAGTCAATACGGGCTCGGGGGGAAGAGGTAGATTCGGCGCCAAATCCTTGAAGACTCGAATACGCGATGGGGCTTTGGCGAAAACTTTCTTTACATTCGCAATCAGAGCGTCCACGCTCGGGCAAGAGACACGAATCTCCTCACAGACTCGATGGACGGCGTGAGCTAGACACGTCACATGAACCAGCTTCGGAAAGAGTACTTTCAATCCTGTCCCCGCTTTTATCATGTATGGAGCCGCATCGGATATGAAAAGGAGTACCCGCTCATGTTTTATGCCTTGCGGCCACAGGAGATTCAAGGCGTTCGTCAGAGGTTGCGCAACTGTCGCGTGATTTGTTCGCTCTACGATTTCGGTTCCTAGAAGCATCGGAACAGACGCTTCATTCGACGTGAGACAACCGACAATCGTATTCACAACGTAAAGACCTCTTGAGTCAGTCGTCTCATCCACTGAGACCCAGATTCGATTCTCGCCGACAGTGTCTCTTATCCGGGTGATGGTTGCATCATAGAGCTTCTTCAGATAATTTTTGCGCAGCGAGGCTTGATCGGGGACTCTCCCGTTGCACCATTTCGCATGGAATCTTCTGAAGGACAAATTTTGAACCTTGTAGAGCGGTATGTTGCATTCTATCATCATCTGACACAAGTCCATACTGAAGCTGCTCTCTTTCTTCGAGAGCTCAACGTAATTCGTAAGAAGACACAAACTCTGATCCGCAGTTTTCGCGAGTCTTACTCGTTCCTTGTGCGTAGCTCCATTCACGTGTTGCTGGACGTGATATTTCTTCGATGTGTTCACAGCCTTCGCGCATGGCTTGCAAGTCAGGACATCTCCGTCCGATGTGAATACCTCCGTGCCGAATTCTCTCTTCAAAAGCTCTATCCTACTTTTCACGGTCTTTGCGAGCTTCGGCATTTCGATGTCGAACACATTAATCGTCGGGAAATCTCTAATGTCTCGAAACCTGGATGGGTTTGTCCGCGTCGAACAGAGTCGATCGCTCTCACGGTCACGTCAAGCACAACTGACTTCAGAAATTAGCATCGCAGTCCACAATCACTGTGAGCCCCGCAAAGCGAACCTTCTTTCGGAAACTTTCATCTTAGATTCGTCGGTTGTAGAAGCATGCTCGACTACAGAGCAAGGCCGACAATGTTTTTGTTTGCCTCCCGCGATCGTCCTCACGTCACGCGTGGAACCTCGGGCGCGTGAGATGTACGACTTGCCACAGAGAACTTGGAAGGCGCACAGAACGGATAAGGAAATGAAGACTCGAGAGGCGAGATAGGCAGAATGCCCACCAGAAATGGACAATAGGCAAAAATACAGAAATCAAGCGACAAAAGGCATTTTCAGGCATTCCAGGCATTTTGCCTGGAAGTCCTAGCTCTATTTATAAGTTTATGGATATGACGAATCAGGAAAAAAGGAATGGAAAGAAAAGTTCATGTTCATGAACGAAAAAATGAAAAGTTCATGTTCATGAACGAAAAAATGTAAAGTTCATGAACAGAAAATGAATGCTTCAGGGCCATGTTCATCAACGAAAAATTTTTAAGTTCCAAGCAGGGGTCGCAACCGGTTTCGAGAACCGTTATTAACCGGTTTTCTCGGAAAACCGGTTTTTAGAAGAATCGAGGAAACCGGTTTTAAAAAAACGTTTTTTTGCGACCCCCAGTTTGAAGCGAGTAGTTGAGCATCAGTTAAGGTCTCTCTCCACTCCGATATCCACTTCGAAAGTCAACAAGCGGATGATATGGATTCGTCGGGCCGCGTCGGAGTTTCCGCCTCCGGTGTTCCAGGGAGTGGCTGAGAAGCGAACGGATTATTGGAGTCAGTCAGATTCCTTACAAGCATGATCTTTCTGAATCTCTTATCATTGATTCTCTCACGGGAGTAGTGTCTGATGGTCCTTGCTCGGGAAAACGCTCGCTCCGAGGGAACACTAGTCGGTTGGACTGCATTTAGTGCAGTTACCAAAGAAACGATGACGGGATCTACGGCTGTGTCTTGGTCTTGGGTGCGCCGCTCGTATTCCAGTAATAAACGCGTCGCCACGAGGCTCGCGTTCTCTGGCGGGAGCGGACGATTTCGACCGAGCTGATCGCTCGAGGACGAACCAACACTACCCGAGCGGACACCGGATCTTCTGCGAGTGGCCACCACCATTGCTTCAAAAGTTTCCGCTGAGCTTGTGGACTCTGGAGGAATCTCAGAGAAATCAAGTTCGTGGAATTTGGCCATTTCTCCGATGACTTCAGATCTCTCTAGAAGAGCGGCAGGACATTCACCCAGTCTTGCCAATAGATTGTCGAAGGCAGAGTTCGGGGATTTTTCCTCGAGGTATCTGC